CAAGCATACCTAGTACCTAGATAATGGTCTCTAAAACCATTCTCCAGTAAGTGAAACCAGACCTTGGAAAAATGGATGATACTAGGGAAATAAATATACAAGATGAGTCTGCAGCAATTTGTAGCAACAGAATGTAAGGAAATGTTCAGCTCACACACACACACACACACACACACACACATACACACATATGTACACACATACATTAACAACATTCTCCAGTTGGAGAATGTCATAAGAGCACAGAATAGAACTTATAAAGAGTTCACAATGGCCAAAACTAGAATGATTCAAATAGTATCAGATTATAACTCAAAATACAAAGTAAGTATCCATGAGTCCATACTGCTATAAATGATTGAATAAGTTAATCTTCCAAGAAGAATTCCAAATAAAGTTTATGAAGATTTCCTACTGTTAAGGTGGGATTAACATAACTCACTACCTCTTAGGTATATGGGCTACACACAGTGACTTCCTTTCAAAGTGTACAGTAAAGAAAGTGGGAAACAAGAGCAACTCTTCAATGGAGAAGCCTGACAAATGCTACCTCAGTCAACTGATCAAGGTCAACATCAACTATGAAAAATCTTGATTATATATGTTCCCTTGATTACACCATGAAAATGACACTCTGCCTTAGGCTTCTTCCTAATAACATGTAATCCCAGTGTTATCATGAGAAATTCATATTCCAACAGTGGGGAATAAAATATCTGACCAGTACTCCTCAAAATCACTAGGTTATCACAAGGAAAAACTGCCATCATCAAGAAAAACATAAGAAAATATGACAGTAGAATTCAATATAGTACTCTGGATAAGACTCTGGAAAAGAAAAAAAGTTCTAACCATTAAAGTGAGAACAATAGAACTCTAATTAAATTATGGACTTCAGTTAATAATAACTTATCAATATTGGCTGATAAATTACAACAAAAGTATTATACTGATGTTAATAGGGGAAACTGAATAAAACATATGAGAACACTTACACCGTCTTGATTTTCCTATAAACCTAAAACTGTTAAAAAATAAGGTCTATTGAAAAAGAAATATGTCAAAATGTTAAACAGTGATTATCTCCTGTGGTGGCATTATGGATAATTTTTGTCTTTGTAGTCCTTGTACCACATACATTTTCTAGAACATAAGATTTTCTTCTCAATCTATTACTACAGCTATCATAATAAACTTCAAAAGATGATACTATTTGTTGAATAATTATATTTGATCACATACTGACTATGCTAAAATTTTTAGCAATACTGTGTAGTGAACACTATCCTTTTTTAAAATGAAGTATTTGTTTGTTAACTTGTAATATACACCACTTGCTTTTTCTGAGATGGGCCCAATGTAACCAGTGGCAAGGAAGGGATATCTGAAAATATCCTCTCTGAAAACTGAAATTCCCACTTCAATCTTAATCTTTAACAGCAAGGATTGTGATGGAAGCATGCATTACCTGCAATTATTTTATCCCAAGCCATATTTGCTTTTAGTCTACAGGTAAACTGTTTTCTGTCAGCCTGACAAATAAATGTCTGCCTAACCCTGGGGGGACAGGGGATAGTATTGAGGAAACAAGTGTTCTTTAAGTTACATGGTTAGTAAGTGGCAGGTAACAAGACTCCAAAACATATTTTTATGTCCTTATCATACAGAATTACTTGTTTAGCGCTTCATAAAATTATTAATACATATATCATTTTAAAGTACTTCACAATAGAGCTCTAATCTCTAGAGTATACAAAGAACTCAAAAAGTTAAACAACAAAAAAACAAATAACCCAATCAACAAATGGGCCAAGGACTTGAACAGAAACTTCTCAGAAGAGAATATACAATCAATCAACAAATACATGAAAAAATGCTCACCATCTCTAGCAATCAGAGAAATGCAAATTAAAACTACTCTCAGATACAATCTCACTCCAATAAGAATGGCAGCCATTATGAAGTCAAACAACAATAAGTGCTGGTGAGGATTCAGGAGGAAAAAGGTACACTCATACATTGCTGGTGGGACTGCAAATTGGTGCAGCCAATTTGGAAAGCAGTATGGAGATTCCTTGGAAAGCTGGGAATGGAACCACCATTTGACCCAGCTATACCCAAAAGACCTAAAAAGAGCATACTACAGGGATACAGCCACACCAATGTTCACAATAGCTAGAATGTGGAACCAACCTAGATGACCTTCAATAGATGAATGGATTAAAAAAATGTGGCATTTATACACAATGGAATATTACTCAGAACTAAAAAATAACAAGATCAGGGCATTTGCAGGGAAATGGATGGCATTAGAGCAGATTATGCTAAGTGAAGTTAGCCAATCCCTAAAAAAAAACAAATGCCGAATGTCTTTTCTGATATAAGGGGGGTGACTCAAAATGGGATAGGGAGGAAGAGCATGAGAAGAAGACTACCACTAAATAGGGAAGAGAGTGGGAGGGAAAAAGAGGGAGAAGGGGAGTTGCACGGAAGATGGAAGGAAGGAGAACCTCATCATTATACAGAATACATTTATGATGTTGTGATGAGAAAAAGAAAAAAAAAAGTGTGTCACATTAGATTGGATAGAGAGAAATGATGGGAGAGGAGGGGAGGAGTAGGGGGGATAGGAAGGGCAGCAGAATAGAATAGACATTGTGATTGCTGTATGTTTATAGGTGACTCTATGACCAGTGTGATTCTGTAATCTGTACAATTAGAAAAATGAGAAATTATACTCCAATGATTCAAATGTATGAATTGCCAAGATCATTGTAATATCATGAATAGCTAATAAAAAAAATTTAAAAAAGTACTTCACAATATTGTCAGTATAGGTTAAAAGACCTGTATTTATGGAAACTGTCAGGAAGACAATGCGTGACATGCACCACTATACTGTTAACTTAGAGAAAAAAACAAATACAACAACAAAAAACTTCCATCAGATGAAACAATACAAGCAGCACTGAAAGCTATACAAGAAACATAGTGACTGCTCAAACACTTCTAATAACTACAGATCTTGTCTTGTCCAAAGATATCTGGAATCATCTTTCCCTTAGGCAATAAGGTAATTCTTTCAACATATATGAAGTTAAGAACTAAATTGAATATTCTCATCACACTACTTTAAAAAAGGGATCTAGACTGATTTCTTGCCCTCATCACAGTTCACCACCCCACTGGTCAAGTTAATTCAACATGCGACAGAATGAATAAGCTGAGAATTAATAGCTTTTACACCTGTTGCTTTTCATGAACCATTTCAGAATTTCTAAAGCACATATGACTGAACTGAGGCAGCCCTATTTCTAAAGTACATTGGTCCTTATGCAGCAAAATAAGCCAAGCTGATTGCAGGTAGGGCCTGAGTAGAGAAATACAAAACCTACCCGAAGAGTTACCTTGTATCAGCATCCATGAACAAGATTAAATACTTTGAAGCACCTTTCCAAAAGACACAAGACCTAGTTTGAAGGGGTACTTATTCACTGGTAAATTCTGGGATGTGAATTTAAGAATAAAAAAACAAGTCATGGCTGGGTGCAATGGTGCACTCCTAAAATCCTAGCTATTCAGGAAGTTGAAGCAGGAGGAATTCAAGTTCAAAGCCAGCCTGGACAATTTGGCAAGGCTCTTGTCTCAAAATAAAGACTGCTCCTGGGTTCAAATCCCAGCACCAAATAAATGAATAAATAAACATCACAAGAAAATAAAAACCTGCTATGAACTGTTATGTTCCTACCAAATTCATATTTGAAACCTTAATGCTAAAGTGGTAGTAAGCAACCATTTGGGAGGTTTTAAAGCAAAAGGGTAGAGTCTCATGAAGGAATTAGTGCACTTGGTTCTCTGCCATATGAAAACCCAGAAGGAAGAGGCCTCACCCAGAACCTGACTATGCTGATACCCTCATCTTGGACTTTCTAGCCTCTAAAGCTGTGAAAAGTTAAGTTTCTGTTGTTTAAACCACCCAGCCCAAGGTAATTATAGTAGCTCAAACTAAGACACAAACCAATTTTTTAAAATAGACAAAAGATTTGAACAGCCATTTTACCAAAAATATACAGGTAACAAAAAAAGTATATAAAAAGATACCCAGTATTATTGGTCATTAGGAAAATGCATATTAAAATCACAAAAAGATACCTGTTAAGTCAGTCTTTAAAAAAAAAAAAAAAACCAACTTGACAATACAAAGCGCTGGTGAGAATGTAGTCACCAAAGTTCTCATACATTGCTGGTGGGAAAGCATAATGACACAATACACTTTGGAAAACGGGCTGACTTTTAAAAACATACTTACTGTACTTACTATAAACATATTTATATACTTACTATAAACATACCTTTTTAAACATTCTTACTATAAAATACAACAATCACATTCCTAGCTGAGTGTGATGGCAAACATGTGTAATCCCAGCAGCTCGGGAGGTTGAGACAGGAGGAGGATCGCAAGTTCTAAGCCAGCCTCAGCAAAATCGAGGCACTAAGCAACTAACTCAGTGAGACCATCTCTAGATAAAATACAAAAAGTAGGGATATGATGTGACTCAGTGGCCAACTGCCTCTTAGTTCAATCCTGGTACCACCCCCCAAAAAAATCTGTATAGAAATGTTCTTAGCAATTACTACTAATAATCAAAAACTAGAAACAATTCAAATATGCCTCAACAGAAGAATAAATTGTGATTCATCTGTACAATTCAATATGATTCAGAAATAAACATGAACCACTCTTGATATATACAACACTTTGGATGAATCTCACGGTTAAATTAAAAAAAAAAATTCAGAAAGCCACATTATTTTGGAAGAAATAAGATCAGAAATTGCCAAGGAAACTCAGGGAAAAGGCTTAAAAAGGGGGTAGCCTTTTTGAAAGCAATGCGGTTTTGAGTGCAGCAGAGCACCATGCTGCCAGCTTCTGCTCCTGACTCACCGCTGTTCTCTCTCGCTGAGTAACAAGTAGGTCAGGAAGCTGCACCACAGTCATGGCATTTAAAGACACCAGAAAGGCATCCGTGGAACAGATAGTGATTCATTATATTAGAATTATCCTTACCAGCCGCAATGTGAAATCACTTGACAAAGTGTATGCTGACTTGATCAGAGGCATAAAGGAAAAGAATCTCAAAGTGAAAGGACCTGTTTGCATGCCTACTAAGACTTTGAGAATCACTAAAAGAAAAACATCTTGTGGTGAAGGTTCCAAGACCTGGGATCCTTTTCAGATGAGAATCCACAAGGACTCATTGACTTTGCACAGTCCTTCTGAGATTGTTAAGCAGATTACTTTCATCAGTATTGAGCCAGGAGTGAAGGTCGAAATCACCATTGCAGATGCCTAAGTCAACTGTTTTAATAAATTGATTATCAATTGTTAAAAAAAAAGAAAGAAAAGGGGAGTAGCAAATTTTGTGGGGGCGGGGGAGGGGGTGATGTTAGAATTGTTCTCCATTTTGATTACATAATCTGTTTTAAAATTCAGACCTGCACATCAAAGAGCAAACTTCAGTATCTGTAAATTGAAATGAATTATTTTTAAATCAATGAAAATTAACAAATCTTATGAGATTAAAAATCCTTGGGGCTGGGGTTGTGGCTTAGCAGTAGAGCGCTCATCTAGCACATGCAAGGCCCTGGGTTCAATCCTCAGCACCACATAAAAATAAATAAATAAAATAAAGGTATTGTGTCCAACTACTTCTAAAAAATAAACATTTAAAAAAAAAAAATCCTAGCATCCACACTCCTATGAAGCTCTTCCTTATGAAAGAAATCCAGCTAATAAGCCAAGGAGATTTGGGAACATCTGGACTAATTAAAAGCACATGTCCCCTAATATAATGAATTGAGAATTTGGCATGATTTCTGGAGTAGTCCTGCCAAAGGGCATAACCTGAATCTAATCATGAGAAAACACGAGACAAAGCCAAATTGAGGCCATTCTATAAAATAACTGGCGTGAACTCTTTAAAAATGTTATTTCCATAAAACATACACTTAGGAACTGGTCCAGATTAAAGTAGACAAAAGAGGTATGTGAATCTAATATAATGTACAATCTCAAATTTATTTTTTTATAAATACCTTATTTGGATAAAACCTCCAAATAGTTTCCTGATTAGATAACAGTATTGAGTCAATGATAATTTTCTGATTCTGAACATTGCATTGCGATTACAGGATTCCTTGTTTTTAGAGAAGGTAAGCACTAAAATACTTAAGAAGGTAAAGAAGCATCATGTCTGTATGTTACTTTTTGATTTTTGTGATGCAGGGAACTGAACACAGGGCCTTGTACATGCCAGGTAGGGTTCTAACTCTGAGCTACACCCAACCTGTATCTTACTCTAAATGTTTAAGTAAAAAATAATTAGTAAGAAGGGAAAAGAAAGTAAATGAGGTAAAATTTAGCACATCTGGATAAAAAGTATTTAAGAATTCTTTGTAGTATTTTTTAAAATACTATTTTTTAAAATTATTTTTTTTTTTGTAGTCACAGTTGGACACAATAACTTTATTTATTTATATGTGGTGCTGAGGATCGAACCCAGGGACTTGAACATGCAAGGCGGGCGCTCTACCGCTGAGCCATATCCCCACCCACCTTTGTAGTATTTTTGTAACTTATTGTAAGTATGAAGTTAAGAAAAATTATTTTAAAAAGTAAATGTTCATTGGGCTAGAAGTAACAGGCCAAGCAAGCTAGAAATAATAAAGCAAATAATCTAAATATGGAATCAACATAAACACATCTACTAACATTAAGACTCTAGTGATAACTTCTGACACTGACACAGTACTAATCAGGGAGGCATGTCCCATCACTCTGGATTTCCTGAGTTCCTGTGTTCTATTGTGGCAAGGAATCAGCTTGACACTGTTACAAGTCTCAATTACATAGGCAACTCTTGGCTTCAATCTCTTTCCTTGCTCATCAGTGACTTTTGACTATAACACAGGAGCTTCAAGTACAGGTCTGGCTACACTAAGATAATGATCATACTGACTTGTAAGTTAGTCATATTTATAAATGTTACAAGTTAGTCTCTTGTGCATTTGATTAATAATAGCCTTCTTGGGCTGGGGATATGGCACAAGCGGTATCGCGCTCGCCTGGCATGCATGCGGCCCGGGTTCAATCCTCAGCACCACATACAAACAAAGATGTTGTGTCTGCCGAAAACTAAAAAAAATATTAAAAAAAAAAATTCTCTCTCTCTCTCTCCCCCTTTAAAAAAAAAAAAAAATAATAGCCTTCTTAACCCATATCAATTCTGGGATATTTCTAAATATCTTGAGTATGAGAACCATACTCTAAAATGGTAAATTTATCAAGGCTGCTTAACTCTGGGTAAGGTCTTGAAAACTTTTTTTTAATTCGTTTGCCTAATCACAGTCTCTTCTAACCAGCAGATTTCAATACTCATAAAGATAAAACATCAAAAATAAATAAAATTGGCCAGGTTTGGTGGTACACAGCTATAATTTCAGTGACTCAGGTAGCTGAGGCATGAGGATTACAAGGCCAGCCTGGGCAAGTTAGTGAGGTTCTATTTCAAAATAAAAAAAGGGCTAAGGTATAGCTCAGTGGTACATCACCCCTGAGGTTCAACCTCAGTATCAAAATAAATAAGACTACTTGGCATGGCACATACCTATAATTCTAGCTACTCAGAAGGTTAAGGGAGAAGGATCACAAGTTCAAAGCCAATCTGGGCAACTTAGCAAGATCTTGTTACAGAATAAAATTTTTTAAAAAGTAGGGAAGGCTATAGCTCAGTGGTAGAGCACTTGCCTAACATGTTTGAGGACCTGGGTTCATTCTTCAGTACTGCAAATAAGTAAATAAATAAGACTAAATAAATTAGATACTAAATTTTTCACTGGGAAAGTAACATATGACAAGTACTTGAATAACATAACAATTCCACTTTGGAAAAATGCATGATACTCTCTCATGTAAATATGACAATAACCATTTCAAGGACACAAAATAGGGAGGGCTATTTTTATTTTCATGATTTTAAACATCTTGACATAGAAGAAATTGTTAAGGCCATGCTCAACTATAAAGAACTAAAGACAAGCCACCCCTACTAGTCTATCACCAAGAATAGCATATGCCTTTTACATGTACAACTGAATATGCAGACAGAAAAGGAACCAATTAGAAAGTTCAGGCTTTCATTCATAACTTCAAAATTGGGAATTCGATCTTAAAAAAGGAAAGATTCCATTCAGCACTTGCTCAATCTCTTTATTTAACAGAAAGCATATAATTAATGAAGTAGCACTTAGTTTGGTATAGTAAGATCTGCTGCTACAGAAATAGAATTGTAATACTAAAATTCAAGCCAAGTCTCTTTCTTCAGCATGTGTAATGCATTCTACATTCAAATCTGATACACAGTTTTTAAAGCACGTACTTCATTTGTATTATTTTACCATCTACATGCTGAAATCTAATATTCTTTTTGATAGTGATGTGTTCAATGATAGAAATTTACAGAGAGAATTTCTTTTTTCTCAATCTGTAAACCAAAATTTTAAAAGCGAACTCTTTGAAGTAATAGAAAGACTTTCTATGACATAAACAGACTACTACCCTAAGCTATTGGCCCAAGCAAAAAAAAAAAAAGAACAAATTGCTCTTTAAATAACCACTCCATATGTGCTACAAAGATGTAAACATTTTCTTTGTATTTCTTTATATTACAGTAAAAGTTGATGTTTAAAAACTTCTGCAAGACTGCGAATATAACTCAGTGGCTGAGTAGCCTGCTTAGCAAACAAGTGCCAAGTTCCAGGTTTGATCCCCAGCGCCATACAAAAAAAGCTTTTGAAAATGTTAATTTTATGAAGAAATTAAAAAAAAGATTAACTTCCCTTTTGAGTGTCCAGTGACAAACTGAATCCCAATTTTCCTTCACTAAGGACATAAAAATGATCTGAAGTGAATCAAAGTGCTTAAAAAGTTCATGTTAAAAATGACCTTCCAGGACTGGGTTGTGGCTCAGTGGTAGAGCGCTTACCTTACACATGTGAGGCACTGGGTTCAATCCTCAGCACCACATAAAAATAAATAAACAAAATAAAGATATTGTGTCCATCTACAACTAAATATATATATACATATATAAATTTTTTTAAATGACCTTCCATATGCTCATAAAACCATCAACATAAAAAGAATGTGAAAGCTGTTTTATACTTGAATATTTAGTTAACATCTAAGGAATCACAACATTTGAGCTTTTAAATCTAGCACTATAATATATAAAAATAGTATAGTAGCTTATATTTTAAAAAAGCAAAGTGATAAAACTGCACACATAAATTGGCCCAAGTATCAACAACAATTATATCCTTCTGAATCTTTTATTATCTAGAACTTCAAAATTATCAATCCTTTTTAGTGCTTAGAGTAAACAATCAAAATAGTTATATTTATTCAGATCTAAAACTAAATTTCTCCATATGGAAGCACAGAAGCAATACATAGAAAAGGTCATTTTGTTCCAACTTCCTGAGCCCACAGATGTACAGTCTATAATATAATCTCATTATGTCATCATTGATGCACCTTCTTCACCAGTGGCATCTTGGGAAATATGAAGATCTTCAAGCATCTCAGCCAAACTAATTCGAGGTGCTCCTTCATCATCTGTGTCACTCTCCACAGGTATAGTTGAATCTAAGAAAAAAATAAAAAGGATTTCAAATAAATACAAATATGAAATTAGATAAATTTCTGCCCCTACCATTAATTTTATTATCTAACTATATGGTATTAGAAGTTCTTGTATTTTACCTAGGGCTGGCATTCAAATATTCACTGAATGAATGGACGGAATAAATGTATAAATAAATTTCTACCAGTAAAGAAGCTATCATGCTAGGAAAAAAAATGATATTAAATATAGTATAGCAAACAATGTAGTAAGTTTAACTATTCTATAAGTAATTTCTTCGTAAAAGTTTGATGACAGCAGTTTAAAAAATTCACAATAAAAGTAACGTATAAGGATCAAAGTTTAAGATCCCAAAATACTCTCCCTGGTAAAATATATGACTTCAACACTCCTAAAACACCAACCTCTATAGATGTTGACATTTTTTCTAATTGCCTCATCTTCTTCAAGATCTTCAAGGAAATCTTGGTATTGCCTATAGGATAAAAAAAATTTAAATATTTCACTTTCACCAAGAAAAGTATGAAGTTCTCTTCATTTTCAGCACTGCAAGGTAATGTGCTCTACATATTACCATCTTTAAAAAAACAAAAGTCATATATGGATGTCAATTCAATACTAATAGGCTGAAAACATTTCTTTCAAAATTACATGATTTAAAAAAAAACAAAAACAGCTGAATATAAAGGTGAGGTTAAATATAAGACAATGAGAAGATATCCCTCCCCCAAAAAGTTTTATGGCCAAGTTGAAATACACTTTCACTTTACAGATGAAGCAGTGAAACCATACTTACAGAATCTAATTGACAGTTGTATATTTACGCATATTATAACTGTGAGATTATATTTCAGAAATACTGCTGTTTCCTAATTCACATTTCGTAAGTTTTATATAAACTCTTCATTTCACTATCATTAAGACCACTTTGAGTCATACAAAAATCTTTTTTAGAATACATTATCTTGCTTCTGGTTGTTTTGGAAATAACATTTGATCTCAAAAAGCTGTTTTCTTTTTATCTCAAATCGTAAGTACTCATCTGCTATTTGTGATATCCTTGTTATTTATTATATTTTGACTTTTGAACTGAATTATTTACATCAACACTGTAATTACAAGGTAATAACTCAGGAAATAATTACTAATCTGTGTTACATTCTCTTAAATTTATTCCATCAATACCTTGATAGAAATCCAATAGAAATCTTAATACTGAGTGCAAGGATCAATTAACTGTGTGATGCCTATTTCTTTACAATATAAAATCAATTTATTCTAAGGATTTTCTCTAAGACAACATTTAAGGATAAAACAAAAGTGGGACCTTTCATCATCTGTATCCATGTTTTCTCTATCTCTTGCAAGTTCTTTCAGTTTCCAGTTTCTACGACGCTGACGTTTGGTACGGTCATAGCTTTTCTTGATTAATACCTATAACAGAAATATCTGCAAAGTTATAAACCATAAGAACTATAGTCGGACAACAAAAATCCAATAAAGTTAAAATATGAAAATTTATAGGAATGCCAAGGAAGCCTTCAAACTAGACAGTTAAGAGAAAGGTAGGGACCAAGAGGCATTATCAGGGGGGCTTTTATAACTTTTCTCCATGTATTTATGTGAGAATACATCTGCGTACTATTTGTATAACTTAAAATTACTAAGTGAAATTTTCTAGAGACTGAATATAAAATTTTTATCACCAAAAATCTATAGTTTTTTTTTAACCTGAACTTCAATTTTCAGCTACGATTCATATGAATCGTCTTGAAATATCATAGGCACTTTTTCTTTCTTTCATTCCCACTTACACAACAGGATATCTTAGAACTTACACAACAGGATATCTTAGAAAACATTAATGCTGTGGAGTTAATAGGTGAAAATAATTTTATAAAACACAAACATTATAATACCTTCATGATTTCCTCTTATGACCTTGTTAGAAATATCTACTGTGTTACATCCAAATCGCCCTTCTATTTACTAATTTCATTAGTTACTTAAAATATAACTGGGTGATGGTGGTAGATGTAGGAAGGAGGGTATCTTTCTTTTACTATGACTTTATTTTGGACATAGCTAAAGAAATCAATGTTTATTTTTCAAAAGGTAAGCAACTAGGAGATAGGGTCTTTCATACCAATTTCATTAACTATTGTTCATTATTCTTTATCATGTTTGAACTTAACAGACTTTCACAATAGTTTTTATCCGAGACCTGATAATATGATTATTTTCAACTGCAATTACATTTTACAGTTGGCCAAATCAAACCTGAACTCTAACTCTAAATGTCTTCTTACCTGGACAATATACATGAAATATGCTAAACTTGGGTAAGAGAAAACATGAGTAAATTCTAAAAATCATCATTTCTAGCTACAAACTTATTTTTGCTCTATAGATAAGTACTAAGTATTTTGACAGAGAATAAAATTTTATTTTAAACAGTTAACAACAAAAAAATCAAATCTTGAATTTACCCCACTAAAAAAAAATGATTTAAAATGAATATTTCTGCTATTATGCCTTAACTATACTTTAAAAGAAATCTCTAAGTTGATTTGTTATTTTCAAAAGTGTGAACTCATGCAGCTCTTTCATAAGAATTATAAGAGTCCTCTTTAACACAGGAAAAAAAAAGAAAAAAAATATCTAAAGCCTTACCACATCTGGAACTCTCTCTCTCTGAGTTCATTTTGTTGACATGCTCATCATTTAAGTTACAGTTGGCCAAATCAAACCTGAAATGCAAACAAGGAAAAACTTGCTATTTCCCTTTGTATGTAAAATTTTTTATTTTAGGGATATCACTTAAAACTTTCTCTGAAATCAAACATTTAATGTTTTTCACTTTAAAGCTTTGCGATTTACTATACAGTGAACACACTTCTTCACATTCCAGAAAAGAAATACCTGACTTTCACATATTATCCATTATTGTGTACCTTACTATATGCTTTTTGTTAAAGACAAAACACAGATATATATCCATATAACTTTAGGATTCGGTAGAAATGAATAAAACAAAATAAAAATACCCCCCATTCTCCAGTGAAAGGAAATGAAAC